CACCATCAGCATAGCCAGATCCATTATCCCCACCAAACTGGCCAAATCCACCATCACCACCAGCATAGCCAAATCCATTATCACCACCAAAGTGATCAAATCCACCATCACCACCAGCAAAGCCAAAATCATTATCACCACCAAACTGCCTAAATTCATCTCCACCAGCAAAGCCAAATTCATTATCAAAACCAAACTGGCCAAATTCATTATCATCATCAAACTGACCAAATTCATCATCGCCATCAAACTGGCCAAATTCATCATCACCATCAAACTGGGCAAATTCATTATCATCACCAAACTGACCAAATTCATCATCACCATCAAACTGACCGAATTCATCATCATCATCAAACTGGCCAAATTCATTACCACCACCAAACTGGGCAAATCCACCTTCACCACCAAAATTTTCATAATCTTTACCACCAGAATCTTCGTAATCTTCACTATCAGAATCTTTATGATTACCAAAATTTCTGTAGTCACCACGGCCACCAAAATGTCTGTAGTCACTATAGCGACCAAAATGTCCATCACTGCCATTAGAGACACGTTGTTTGCTATTATTGGTATATTCAAGTTCAGGTGGATCGTAATATTGATCACCTACTGGTGGTTCTGGTTCCTCTCTTTCTACAATAGCAACATCATGAGGAAATTTGTTACGAGATATAGCACGTTCTCTTAAATCAATCTCATCTTTATTATCCCAAGTGTCAGCGGGTTCAAAGCCATTATCTTGTGAATTTTCTCTAATAATCCACATTTGATCCGCAGTTAATATATAGTCGTACTCGATATAGCAGTAACCTCGATCGCCCTGAAAAGAAGATTTCCATTCATCAATATACTTAAATATTCACCTTCTCAATTTATCATACCCATTTCCGTCCGTAAGAGTTTCGTACAATAAATGATTTTGATTTATCCGAGTAACCCACAATGAGCATTGCATGGCCACTTATTTCATTCTTATTCTTAGCGGCTGCAATTTCCTCGTCTGTTGGTACCTTCAAAATACCAGTGCCAAATGCCTTATGAAATGATGGAAGAGTTCTGAGACCAAAAACTACTGGAAAACCTTGAGCAAGACAAATTTTTATTTCATTTAAATCAGTTTTTAATTTCATTGCTGAACCAATTTTATGCATTTTCGCCTGCTTATAAGCGGTCTTGTATGGTTTTACATTCACCTTATTTGTAACATATGGCCATATTTTTTCATAACAACAACCAATTTCATATAAGTGTTCAAGACAATCTAAACAAAGTACAATAATTGATGCTGCTTAGAACTGATGCTATAGCACATTACACCGCTGATTCTGCAGAAAACTATGGTTCCGATACCACTTTAAGAACTTCTCATAAAAAAATTTCTTGTAAGGTTGTCAGCAGTTTACGAAAAAACTTTGACTTTTTGAATGTAATACCTGGTATTTTACATCCTTGATCTTTCATTACTGGTAACCCTGTACGAGCATTATAATACAAGAATAAACGACTGTAATTAACCTCTTTGCTCGTACGTCTTTTAACCAGATATTCCATTGCACCTGAAATAAACACCGAACGTAGATAGCAATTACGATAAGTTTACGAAGGTAGAATTCACAGTTTACTTACTGACAACTGCATTTCCAACACTATAAAAAACAATTCTGAATGTGCGAATAAAAGAATGGGTTTAAAACTCAAAAGGTCATCAAAGAACTAGACCAGTTGAAGACAAAACGTTTTTCGATTCAACTTATTTCTGATTACAGAGTTTCCAACCGAGTTATCACGACTTGATTTGTGTTTAAGACGTAGCAGAAACCTAAAAATGCACCGCTATGAATGAGCTTATATACTTACCCTCTAGTGAAAAATGATGTTAATAAGACTCACAAAAGGTGAACAAAAACCGCATAAAAAAGGATTTTTTTGTCTGTCTCCACTTAATGAAGGCAAGAGTTTCTCATTCATTATGAACCAAAGATCTCCGTTTATGCGAATGCCCATTTATGTTACGGTGGAGAAAACGGGATAGGAAAGCAGAATAAATTTGACAGAAGTCTTCCATTTTTCGAACTGTTTTCTCAGTGCACGTTACAAAACCTCTTCTCTAATATATCTTAGCATCCCCTCCTTACGGTAGGCAAACGGAATGAAAGGAATGTCCTTCGTTTCTAACTCCACTCTGTTTTGTCATCGAAAATCAAAATTTCCTTAAAGTTTAAACTGCTACCTACCAACTACTAAGGCTGTATTGTTGTTCAACACGCGTCATATATTTTCTTAAATCCACTTTCGCCGGTACTTGGTCAATCTTATATTTTATTATTGTTGAAAAGTCGCGTTTAAGTTCTTCCTGTTTTGGAAGATCATCAGCTAGAAGATATCCATCCATTCGATACTTTTGTCCCGTGGTGCGATCCTTAACATATTTGTGTTTTGATGTCTTTTCCATTTAAAATCTAAATGTCAGTATCTACAAAAAAAATCATGAGACACCAATAGTGTAACCATGCTGATCAAGTACTTTGACTCCAAAAAGCAAACGTCGGATAATCGTTGTAAAATGAAAGACACCACATAGCAGGTTCCTCCATTATTTCACCAGAGCTGGGCAGCTCCGATGCCTGCCGGCTCCGGCTCCACCCCAGCTCCTGCTCCTCTCCTACTGTAAAAACAGTAGGAGAGAAAAAAAATGTTCATCTTTCCTTGTTGGAAAAACACAAAATAATAATACAAATGAAAACAAACGAATAGCAAACGAAAGATGTCTAAACCTTTCGCCAACATTTCTTTTGTAAGACTTCCTCTGTGTGGTCGCATTACGAAACCACTGGTAGAAAATATGCGTTCAACAGGCGCTGATGTTGCAGTCACCCACAAAAGTTGAAGAGCAAGCGAATTCAGATATGGATAGTCAACAACCAGGTTGTACGATGATATAGAGAGAGAATAAAAAATGAAAATAATAGTCAAGGTCTGTTTCGAGACCAAAAAAACGAGAGAGAAAGGAAAGAACGAAGAAAAGAGAAAGAGAAACGTACTATTGTTTCTTCTGAAAATCGTTTTGAAGTACAAATCTATAACTGCATGATATATATACATAAAAAATCTTCTTTCAAAAGCCTTACATTTAATAGAAGAAGGTCAAGACCGAGGCAGCATATATTAACGTGTCATCAGCGCACATACTCATATAACTATCTGCCGTAAGAGTATCATTTTTACCTCGATCGAACGCTCATATCATCATCCGCACACCGACTCCGGAGCCGAAGCTGCTCAGCTCTGTATTTTACGATAGTTATATAACATATTATTGCCACGATTGAATAAAAATTACACAATGTACAGAATGTCTTATTGTTTGATGTACGGCTATGACTATAGTTACTGATTAGACGAATGATAAGTTATGGAAGTGCGTTCTAAAACCACATGCAACCGGAATATTATTTTGTATATGAAAACACTAGTGTGATTCTTTTCACAGTGTACAGAAGTTTAAATTGACTTTATCCGAACAGTTCGATGGCAACACGACTAGTACAACTCGAGCTCCTGATGATGAATATTACGTTTATAAGGTTTTAAAACAGCGCACTGTAGCCTTCTAGACCTGTGGGGATCCATTTTGCAGCAGAGTAGACCTTTTGTGAGCATTTTCATCATTTTTCAGCCAAACACTTTCATAAGCTGAAAGCGAAAAAGATGAATATAATCACTTGAAAGATCAATACTTTTATCCATGGCGAACGGACGTTAGTTTTGTCTTCTTACACAACTGTCTAGTATTTTCTATCACAAATAAATTATATGAGTCATGGATAATAACAAATTAAAAAGAAACAATATTGCAATACGCGACAAATTAAGTAAGAAATTAAATAACTCATTCAATCCAATGTCTTATGCCCCTGCTTCTGTCGATGATCAACTAGCTACCACCATCCAGCAAACAATTTTATCTACTGAGTTCTTTGATCCTCTTCAGCAATCACTGGCTTCTAGTCCGCTCTTTGCTGAATTATGTCATCAAATAACATCATCAGACGTTTTCATCAAATTAATTACATCTACTGTGTCATCTAAATTACTACAACAGCAACATCATATTGAACACTTACAAAAAACAATTGATGATCTAGACGAAAGCGTGGCTGATCTCGAAGATCAGGTAGATAAACTAGAGTTAAAGTATAACGAGCTTGAACAATACAATAAGCGCCAGAATTTAATTATTTATAGAATTCCCGAGACGCAAAATGAAAGTACCGATAAAATTGCCGTTGAAATTGCGAAAATAACCGATCACTCGCTCGACATGAAATTCATCTATTCTTCTCATCATTTACCATCTAAAACAAATAATTCAGTTCGACCAATTGTCATCAGTTTCCTACGTTATTCAGATCGCCAAGCCATCATAAAAAATCAAAGAAAACTACGTGAAAACCAACGATATAAAATGTATTCATAAATGAACATCTAACACCGCGTAACAACGATCTTTTCCAATGTGCTCGCCAAAAATTGAATAAACGTAGTGTCTACACAAGAAATGGAAATATTTTTCATGTTGATTCATTTAATCAAAAACACCGAATTAAATCTACGGTAATTATCGATAATTTGGCTCAAACAGCATTGTATCAATGAGTACGGTTAGTAGAAAACATTTCTACTTCGTTTCTTGTCTTTTGATGATAATCTCAGCTGATATGTGTCTTTCAAAAACTTTACAGCTGCTCACAGCTGATTACTTTTTTTCGTTAAATTTGTCTGCCTGTTTCGTATGGCGGTTTTTAAAACAGATATTCTATAAATTTGTTTTCTGTCTTTGTCATGTGAAATTCCCAGCAAATGTTTTCTTGATGATGATGATTTATTGCGAAAGAAATGACCAGGCCTATTACCCGCTTTCATGACACAGTAGAGAGATAGAGTTTAAAACATATTATACACAAACAAACGCACATCTTTAAAAGAAACAACAAGGTATAAAACAGTTTAACAAAATGAGACAAACACCTTTAAAAGAACCAAATAAAACAGTTTAACACATAAAAGAAAAAAAAAAAGAGACATCACAAATCATAAATTCAGCAGTTTATTTAAAATAGTTTTGATTGGGTTTAAGCGCAAACGTAATACGTTTGTTTCATACTTTTCTTGGTAAAGCAGATAGTTAAAAATAAGATTTAGAAAGATATCATTTGTAAGAAAACCGTACATAGTAAAAGAGCGAGACAGCTGGAAAACAAAGTCTTTTAATAAAACACAAGAAGCGCGCTTATGAAGTTCATGAGTGGAAAAACATGGTGGGAGACGTAATGCGATTTTTAAACTAACGTTTTGTATACGTTGAAGTTTAGTCCAGCTAGAAGTAGAAATACATAAGAGACACGGAGAAGCGTACGTTAACATAGGACGAAGATACGTTTTGTAAACAAAAACAGCTGTATGAGGAAGAAGTCCCCAACGTCTGCCGCATACGGATTTTAAGGCACCCATACGTTTCCGCGTACGGATACAAACATCATTAATGTGAGCACAAAAAGACAGCGACTGATCCAGTATAAAACTTAGGTATTTAAACGTTTTTACTTGTTTCAGACCATTTCCGTTTAGAAATAGGAAAATAGATGAGTTTTTATCACGTGGACATTTGGAGAAAAATAACGACACTGTTTTTGAGTAGCTAATTTTTAAACGCCACCGCTTACAGTAGGTGGAAAGATGATTACAGAATACTTGTAACAATTGTTCGCCCTGCTTAGCATAGAAACATTCGCACAGGGCCGCTAAATCATCGGCATACATAGAGACGTTTACTTTCGCAGAAGTGCAGAAAGAAGGGAGATCGTGAATAAAGAAATTGAAGAGAAAAGGAGAGAGGATGCTCCCTTGA